TATGGTGTACAGTTTAGTCAAGTAAATGGGAGTGACAGCAGAAGGAAGAAAGGCAAAAGAGCCCTAGGTGAAGATCAGGAGGACAGAGGGGACAAATGGAAAGGCTGGACTCACAGGAGGGAGACAAGCGTATTAAGGAGAAACCACATGATGCTCTCAGATTTCCTAGGACTGCCCCTTCCAGAAATGGCTTCTGAGGACTAGGTAGTGGTGTTTTGACTTTTTCATACTTCACTTCCCTCTGTGACATATTCAGCAGCAGTAGTGCACATACCATATGGTTTTGTTATGAATCCTGAGACCACATGTAAAGCAAAGAGAAGCATGCTAGTCTCTGCTTTTCCCTCATTCTCACAAGCTTTATTTAAGATAGTACTGCTGTTGCTAGCTGAAGTCAAGAGAACTTACTATTTGAGCCCAGCTCTATCCAAGGTTGCAGTCTTTGGTCTTTACACAGATTGATTCTCAGAAAATAGATTCTATTTTAATTATACTCTAGTTAGGGATCTCAAGGTACAAGCAGTTAGTTTTCTCGAGATAGCTGGGGTGAGAAAAGCTCAGGGGTTTTTTTTTGTTTGGTTGGTTTTTGGTTTTTTGGTTTTTTCAAGACAGGGTTTCTCTGTGTAGCCCTGCCTGTCCTGGAACTCACTCTGTAGACCAGGCTAGCCTCGAACTCTCGAACTCAGAAATCTGCCTGCCACTGCCTCCCAAGTGCTGGGATTAAAGGCGTGCGCCACCACCACCCGGCAGAGAAAAGCTGAGTTTATTTACATCTAGGCCTTCTCAGAGCAAAGCTGCATTCTCTTCACCAGGCCACACTGCTTTGGGTAACTAGTGATTGTTGCCACCAACACAGAATCTTGTGCATTCCAGGTACTAGGAATAGACGTCAAGGGTAAAAGACAGTATGGTCTTACCAGGACTACATTGAAAAACCAGGAGTGTGGAAACCATGTCTGGGAATAGGGGTCCTGGATCTAGGAAGTGGCAAGTACTCTGACTTTTCTCTGCTGTCCCCATGATACTGACGGCTTACATTTTAGAATAGGATGTGAACACCGTTCCAGAGAAAGACAGTAATCCCCCACACCTCAGCTGACCAGTGTTTTCCTCTGCTTCTCTCTCAGTTCTATGTGATCAGAGGCTTTGGTGATAATGTGATTGAGTGTAGGCTTGTCTCTAAACACACTAGTAAACTCGAAGGAGTTCTCTCAGTCACTGCCTCCCCCCTACTCTAGTGTCCAGCAGCCTCCTTGTGCATGAAAGTCTTCATATATAATTTTAATATAAGTGTATACAGTAAATTAATGCAGTTGCTAGTAGGATTTCTTTATCCTACTAGTTCCCAGTAATGAGAGACCAACAGAGAGACCAAGATGTCATCTCAAGCTTCACCTCAATACCTAGGCAGTCTGTCTTAATCCCCTCAACTAATCTGGCTACCTCCCAGCCAAGATCCTAATATGGCTTTCCATGCTTCTGCTAAACTCTCAAAAACTCTTTCCCCATTCCTCCTCATAGCAGATTCTACTTTTCCCTCTTTCCCCTTCCCCTGGCTTGTGGAAATCCCACCCTATTTGCTCTTGTGCTCAGACATTGGGTGATTAGCCTTTATTGACAAGACAAAGAATAAATGGTAAGAATTGTTTACACAAACTTAAGAAGGATTCTTGACATAAGCATTATAATGCTGTGTCCAGATTGAAACAAGATATGAGGGCAGAGAAATCAACAATTGAATAACACAAGGATAAGCTTTACTAGTACACAAACACATTCCACCTATCCCCAGTCTTCCTTGTTGCCCATTTATTCTCAGTGCCTTGCACAGGGACTGTCCCATCATGACTCTTTAGGAAATACTGAGTAGTTCCATGGATGAGGGATAGACTGGTAGGTGAATATAGAGACTTCCTGACTCTCTCAAACTCTGCTCCTTTCCATTTTCCTCAAATCACTCAGATGCTGAGAATTACAGTGGCCTTTCTATTCTGCTACTATCTTGGCAATGTTTACCAATAGCTTGTCTTTGCATTGTAGTGGTCTTTGAACATCTTTGAGCCATCCCCCAGAGTGGTATCTTAGAGTCAGTCTATCATTCTACCTGGCCTTTCTACTTATCAACAAAAAAAGTTTGAAGAGGATGGCAGAGACTGCTCAGATGGTTATATATATGAAGGGGAAATGAGAAAGGTCACTTTGGAAAGGCCACATACCCTCACCCTGAATTCATACAGGGACAGGACAATGGGAAGAGAGAGAGCCACATTTTTTTCTCCTTGGCACCAAGACCTGTAGTGAATGGTAGGATGTAAGCCATAAGGTAAAGGATTTCTGTCTAACAAATGTACATTTAATTAGATGAGAACTGAAGGAAAACAGTAAACATTTAATATTGATATAAATACCAAAGAGCTATCAATGGGAAAAACTAAAAACATGATTGGCTGTATAGACAGTATTCTTGATAAAGGTTTATTAAAATTATGTGCTGTTATTCAGAGTCTATCTATGAACTGCCATGTATTCATTCTCCCACCCCAGGTCCACCCTCTATGTCTGTGTGTCTGTGACTGTGTGTGTTTTGGTAGACTTGAACATGAATAAGATAAAATCTTTTGTCTTCAAAAACCTTAGTGTTTTGTTATAAAGGACACAGAACAAGTAAAGAAGCTTGTAGAAACACACTGAAAGTGAATGTGTTAGATGCAAGCTGCGTTGTTGTCAGAGTGAAGCAGTGAGGCAGAATGTAGTGGCCATGGGCTCAGAAGGCTATGCTCAAGGCTGCAGATAAGGACCTGATATTGCTAACCCATTGAACATACTCAGCCAGGCTAATTAACAGAGAAACTTGTGACACTGGCTCCAGTGCTGTGCTTCCCCCTTGGAGAGAGTCAGATAAACTGGAAAAGGGCCCTCTGGCCTGAGCCTCTGTCTGTTATTAATTGCTATTAAATGCATGGTATAGGTTTTCATTTCAGTACTAAATCCTCTTATATGCCCAGCTGTCTGTTGGTGATGTAGTGTGGTCATCTTGTTCAAATCATTAGACATTAGAGGGACCGTTAGTTATAAAAAGGGACAGATGGATCTATGCAGGGCCTCACTCTGTGCACAATCACTCACGGTCCAGGTGCTCTTGTCACACTTGAGTATGGAGTGGGTTAAGTACAGCCTTATTTGGTCTGAATGGGTCTCACTAAAGCCAGGCAGCTCCATTTCTCTACTGCCACTTTGCTAAAGTGAAACTGAAAAGTTAGCCCAGTGCTGCTTAATACCCACAGTGTTTCTAATAATATGCCACTATTTGACCATTATCAGAGAGACAAAGAGAGCCTTCCTCACAAACACATTTGATCACCAGATTTCACAAATTCCATATCCTGCTTCTATGCAGTGCCACCAAAGAAGTGGCAGTTGTTCTGGTTTCCATCCCAACCCAACAAGTCTAATGACTCCTTAAGGAAGGCGGGATTCGATTTGTGGCATAATGAGAACTTATTTTACAGCACAACCCTCAGGAGTTTCTTTTCAAATCAGGAGGCCAAGCAAAGGAGCACACAGAAATAGTGTTGTTTCTGGGGCTCAGCTGCCAAGCCATTATTTATGCACTCAGCCAGCTATACACTGCTGGCCAGCAGTCTGTTTAGGAATGTTGTTAGAAAAATCTATCTCCCTTCCCCCAGCACAAATGGACCATTACCAGGGCACTCTTCTTAAGCAGATCAAATTTGTTGTAGAGATAGTTACTGAGTATCTGGATTCTCGTCCTAAGAAGGTAAAGTTAATCTGATTACTTGACTCCAGTCTCTTTCTATATAGAACTCTTTAACTGTTCTTTATAAGAAGAGAAACCTCATTGCCTTAGCTTACTCTGAGCCCATCTTATACTTTTACACATTGTTTACATTTTGTTCTTAACTTTTACTAATCAGAAGTTCATTGTAGTCAAAAATATGTTGGCTGTAGGTTTAACATGTGTGTTTGTATGTCAAAAAGAAAGGGAGGAGAAAGAGAGAGAAAGGGAATGTCTACTACCACATATATGTGTAGATCAGAAGACAGCTTGCAGGAGGTGGTTCTCTCCTTCTGTTATGTGGTCCTGAGGTTGGATCTCAGGCAGCAATGCAAATACAACTAAAGTAATTTAAGGCTGTACCAGTTTCTGCCCCTCCCATATTGAGTTCCTACTGTGCAGATAATAAGATAAATCTGAAGACAACTGTAATCACTAACATTCAGAGAGTAGTTACTTGGATCATGCCAAAGTAATTTGCATTCATCGTATTTATTTGTATAACTCCCTGCATTCAGGTACAGTTAACCTAGCCACCAAGAAACAAAGAGGCTAATTCATTTGCCTACATCTATATATCTGGAAAAAAAAAACAGACCAAGATTAGAACCTGTGTCAGTTTAATTTCAGAGCAGGAACATTTAAGCAGTGAACTATATAATTCCTCTGTGGTATCTGTGCACCTGTAAGATTGGCAAATGTGGAGTTGACCCAGTGCTTGTCCTGCAGCCACCTAGGCCCACACCTCATGGTTCTCATGACAGCTAAGTCACCATTATCCTGTCAGGTCTCTACAGAATCCTCCCTTAACTTCCAGAATTACCTCTATAACCCTGAGAGAAAGAAGGCAGTCCTGAGTTGGGATGCCCCCATTGAGCTGTCTGTCTAAAAGTACTGGATACAGTGCAGGTCCCCTTCTTAGTATTCCATCTCTAGTAATGGATGATGAACTCATTAACACTCAGAGGAGGTATCCTGAGAAACAGAACTCAGTTCCTATTCAAGACATAATTATACATATACCTGAGGCAGTTCTGATGAGCAAATCATAGGCTCAAGGGCAAGAGTTTAGATGGTGTGTGTCTGTGTCTGTGTGTGTGTGTGTGTGTGTGCGCGCGCGCGCGCGCGCGCGCGTGTGCGCACTCAGTTTCATTCTAGAAAATTTGGTCCTGTGGCTAATATCACTTTTCTCTTTCCTCTACAGGCATGAACGCTTTACAATTACAGAATCTGGCAACGCTGGCTGCTGCTGCAGCTGCCGCTCAAACCTCAGCCACCAGCACCAATGCAAACCCTCTCTCTAGCACAAGCAGTGCCCTGGGAGCCCTCACAAGTCCCGGTGAGTGGGAAGCTATACTCTTCCACCACATGATACAAGGTCAATATGCATTCAAGTCTTCATGTACCCAGAGGCAGGGAGTTAGGTTGGATTTTTCCAGGACAGAGCTGGGAAACCTGCAGGGTCTCTGGTTTATTATAGTTCCTACTTTCTTAAGGAGAAACTTGAGTGGCTGTGTTTTATTTTCCAAGGGTAAAATGGAACAAGTTTTCAATGAAGAAATTCATAGTATCTTTATTTTTACCAATGTTTCCTTTCTTTCTTCCAATACTTAGGTATTGATTACTATAGCAACTCTCAGTCTTACACTCCGCTTTTGTGTCCTGTTCTCTTAAAGGGGAAAAAAGTTTAAGAATTTTCTACTGGTTCTCAAACTATGATCTCTTCAGTGTTTATTTTCATATCAACTCTATCCTGTACCTTTGAGTTTAAAAATCATGATGTAGTAAGGACATTGTGTGTTCATTTATGGTCATATTCTGGGTTGTGTAATTGGATATCTTTTTTTTTTCCTTAGAAATTTTGTTGGCCTTATTCAAGGGCTAGTAACATTTTTTTTTGTACAAGAAAGACCTAATATGGTTACACATTTATCATGAATTGTTTTCTTTATTTTTTAAAAAAAGAAAAAAAAACATTTCATTGACTTCCTTCTCTGAATTTTCTGGGTCTCTCCTTCTCTGTAACCTACGAGGGAGTGTGCTTGGACAATGTTGCTGCTAACTTTGAAAGTCTCATGACCTTCTGTCACCTGTGTCCAGATGATAAGCTAAGTGGTAACAGAACTTTATTGTAATTGTGCAAGGTTTTCTTATGAAAAAATAGGAAATGAAAGCTACAGCATATTCCTGACAGCTTTCTCAAGAAGTCTGACTTCAGGAAGCAATAAAACATGCTCCTCAGACCTGTAGAACTAAAAGGAAAAACAGCCCTTGGATCTTTATAAAGCATTGTTTATCTAGAAAGAAGAAAACCAAGCAATGTTTATAAGAATCTCCTGAATTTATCTCTAATGTGCTAAAAGTCTCTAGACAGCAACCCATAAGTATGGTGATTTAATTCTTTCAAGAATTTTAAAAATACATCATTACTCTATGTGTTATGGGCTTTACTTTTTGGAATAAATGATATTCCTGAAAAATCAACTTTGGGGGGAGGTTGGTTTTACACTTTTATTGGAGGGCAACAGGGAAGGGGTCTCTTTCATCAGCAGAATTCATAGGTTCTTCAGCCATTACAGGCTTGGGCCCAGAGGCTCCTGAGGGTGGCCAGGCACATCAGACATATTCCCATTATCTCTCACAGGCAGCTAGTAGGGTATAGCCTAGTTGGTCACGCCATCATACTTGGTGTAGGGGCTAACCATGGGCATAATTATAGCTAGGACCCAGACAGAGGAGGACACTACCACCAGCACTGGCTCCTTTGTCCAGGCATTCTTGAGGAAGGTAGAGATTCTTCTGGCCATCTTGGTCTTGGCAGAGACTGAAAAGTCAACTTTTGACAATATTTTCAAGAAATGAACTTATAGTTTTAATAAATCCTTTAGTGACCCTATACTATTTTCCTTTTTCCAACAACAACAACAACAAAACTTAAGCAGATAAAGTTTTATTTCAAGAGTACAAGGGTATCATAATTGGGAAGTCATAGCTGCAGGACCTTGAGACTGCTGGTCACATTATATCTATAGTCTGAAGCAAAGGATAAATGTTGGCGCTCAGCTCAGGTTCTCCTTTTTATTTACCAACCCCTCCAGATCATAGACCGGTACAACCCACATTCAGTTAAACGTCTCTAGAAATATTCTCACAGACACAGCTAAAGGTTTGTCTCCTAGGTGGTTCTAGATCTTGTTAAGCTGACAGTCAATTTCAAGCATCACAAACAACTTGAACATTGTTAGTTTCTCCCTTATGAAAACATCAGTGATTTCCTTAAAATATATTACATATGAAATATTATAATTTGGTGGTGTCTCACACCTTTAACCCCAGCATTAGGCAGAGGTGGCTAGATCTCTATGAGTTTCATCTCTCTGAGACCAGCCTGGGCTACATAATGGGTTCTGAGACAGCCAGAGAAAATAGAGAAACACTGTCTCAAAAGAAGGAAAAAAAGAAAACAGGTCCATGTTACTGGATCCATAGCCATTTGTGTTAGCTCTCCCATCACTAGGACAGAATGAATGCCTGACGTAACTTGTCTTGCCTATGATTCAGAGGGTTCTGTCCATAATCATTTGACACTGTTTCTGAGCCCATCACAAGAAACTCCACTGTTAGAGTATAGCTGGGAAGGTTTTTTGTCTAATGACAATAGGAAGTAAAGACAAAATACAGGAAGTGACCAGGGCAAGATACAACTTCTAACAACATGTCCTAGTAACCTACTTCCTCTAGGTAGGTCCCAACTCCAGAAATTATTAAAAGTTTACGAAATGATGCCACTATCTAGGAGATAACCTCTCAACATATGAGTCAATTGGAGACATTTCAGATACAAACTATATTACCATTTCATCCAATATTTTGAAAATCATGAATTTTTTTATTTTATATTGTAGTTTTGCGTTGATAAGACAAGGTCTCACTGTATACCCTTGGCTGACCTGGAACTCACAAAGATCAGCCTGCCTCTCTCCTAGGTACTGGATTTAATGTGTGTGCCACCATGCCTGGCTATGAATTTTATTTGGACCTTCTTTTTTTTTTTTTTTTTTTTTTGGTTTTTTGAGACAGGGTTTCTCTGTATAGCCTTGGCTGTCCTGGAACTCACTCTGTAGACAAGGCTGGCCTTGAACTCACAAATCCACCTGCCTTTGCCTCCCGACTGCTGGGATTAAAGGTGTGCGCCACCACCACCCGGCTTATTTGGACCTTCTTAAAACGGAGGGTGTTCAGCCTAAGAAGATGTCCTGTGTGTCAGAAGGGAAGTTTAATTATCTGAAAATATCCCATATTCTTCAGCCAAAGAGACAATATATTTGAAGATACATTTGCCCTCCTCCTGCTGTGGTCAACATGTCCCATTAGCAGTGAGTCCTATGCTGTCTTCCCAAAGCAGCAGGCTGCCCTTCAGTAGATGCTGCTGCCTGACGATCCCTGAAAGGGGTTTTCCCTGCAAAAGAACGCTCTTCATACTAGCTGAAAGGACTTCATTAGAACCTTTATCTGTGGCAGCAAAAACTATTTAAAACTAACTTTTTGATTATTTTTCCTATGTAAGTAAAAAAAAATTATTTAAATAAAAGTCCATACCTTCCATCAGGGACTTTTTCAGAGATGTAGAAAATATAGTTAGTAACGTTAGTAACACCCCTGCCTCTATTCGTCTTCAGGATGATCGCTGATAAGATAAAGTGTTAGATGCTGTCACAGGGATAGTGCTATTACTCATATTTTAAAATGAAAGTCGAGTGAGTTCACGATCTGTACCATGAACAGTCATACTGTAAAATACATGAAGCCTCATCTTTTCACTTCTACACAGGGCTTGAATTTACCATGTGTTTAAATATGTCTCATAAGTTCCAGACAAACTCATCTACAAAGGAAAGGGACAATTTAATCCCCAAACTATTAATTTTTTTCATAATTGTAAATTTATCTTTTCAATTTTGCATACTGAGAAAAAGTCTCCCTACAGCATTATTATAAATGATTTTAAATAGTCTTGGCTTTAAAACATGAAAGATTAAGCTTTAATTTTTGTTTTAAAAAATCCCCTTAAGCAATAAATAGGTTCCTTTGTCTCATGGCCTTGAAATAAAAATTAAAATAGTTTAAATTGCCCATGGTTAGAATAAGTGTTTCATGCAATTATCAGATAGTAGTGAATAAAATTAGAAATTAAATCATGAAAGAATAAAAAGCAGGTAAGTGCATATTGTTCCTTTTATGAGTTCCTCATGGGTCTTCTGGAACCTAATTTAATTGTTTCTTTTCTTTTGATAGGCTAATTTTCCCTTTATTTACTTCAGTCTTCTATTTAGTTAATTAATTCTTGGGTCATTTTTTATTACCCACTTTTGAACCTGTTTTTGAGAACCATGTTTGTTTTATAGAAAGAGACAAACTGCATGTCCAGCAGACAGCTAGGTATTAAAGGTATCCTACAGTGTTTATAGGTGAGTTGTTGTTATCTAGTAATGTTCAGAGCTTGGAAATCAGTATTACTTTCAGCATGTGAACTTTTCTTTGGCATTTTCTGTCTAAATCCTAATACTGCAATACTGCACTTGTCTACTGTGTTATTTCTTAGCCTCCTGTTTTCTTTCTTTTTTTCTTTCTCTCTTTCTTTCTTTCATTTTTTTTTTTTTTAGAAAAAGATGTTTTAAAATTCTCCAAATGTTTTTGTAAGTGCAGACTCAGTCAAGTGCACACTTCAAGATAATGGATAATTTCTTTCAATAGCATAAGACATTTTAAAATGCCAGGAAGCATTACTTTATTCCCACTGCTGGCTCTTCAAAGCGTTTTCCCTTTAAATTTTCGGCAGTCTTTCTCCTTGAAGACTGCAACAGTCTGAGTTCCATCCAAATATTGATGCGACCTGCTGGAGCACTTAAGGCTAGAGAAAAGGAGAGGTGTTTTCATGGGCTCAGGCCCATTGTGCACTCCTCACATAGATGACTGGGAGTGGGTACTGTCCCTGTTCATATCTGTGTCACTCAGGCAGATGCATATAACAAGATACAAAATCTGACTCTAGAGGTTATCCTGCAGCCTTTCAGTTTGTAGAAGGCTTTGTTATCTTAAATATCTGCATCACCAGAGAGCCTGTGCACTTTGTGGAAAAAAGTGATTCACAGATTTCAGAGCCACACTTAGGAGCCTTTCAGCATGTGTAAGACAATATATTAAAGTCTGTTAGGCCCTACGTTGACCCCAAGCAGTGACTTGTAGGTGTGTGCCAAGGCCCATAGCAATAGATAGAAAAGACTATCTGAAGATAGGAGATGCTATCTGAAGCTACTACAGTGATGCCTGAGCTTCAGG